TGGGAAGAGGAGCCCGCGGCACTGCCCCACGAGTAGGAAGATGCTGCCACCTAGAGGCGGTGGGTGCGTCCCCAGGCCGGGAGCGGCGTCTCACAGGGCGCCCTGCACAGCCACCTCCAGGGGACACCCTGGAGCGGGATCCCGGTCCCATAACCCTGCCGCCACGTGGGCCCCACCCGAGACGCGAGGCTTGGCCCAGCTCCCACCCTCCTTCCTACTCAAGAGAGTTCAAAAGCCCCGGCTCTGCTCTGCCACCCAGGGCGGACAAGGGAGGAGCCGCAGCCAGAGCCCCTGGACTCTGGTTTGGGCTGGTGGTCAGGCCAGCCGGAAGTACTGCCACGTGATGGTCAAGCCAGCAGCTTGCCCACACCGGGGTGACTCCCGGTCCCTGCGGGAACCAGCCGGGTGGCCTCAGACGAGCTCTTTATCTCGGCCGGCCTCAGTTTGGACATCTGTAAAATGGCGGGAAGGCAGGGCCACGGTGCCTGTGACATGCTCAGCCCAGTGCCCGGCACGGGTTAGCCTCGGACTACGGGAGATTATCCCCGTTCTTTTGAAATCCCAGGGCTGACAACTACAGCTCTTGGGGTCTGGGGAAATGCTTTCCATTGCTGATATTTGAGAATCTACCCGCCCCCCTCCCCCACGCAGTTGTATATGGAAATTTGAAACAAAAAGCATCAGCTTGGGGGCTGGCGCTGTGGCACAGCAGGTTAGAGCCCTGGCTTGAAGCGCCGGCATCCCATATGGGCGCAGGTTCTAGTCCCGGCTCCTCCTCTTCTGATCCAGCTCTCTGCTGTGGCCTGGAAAAGCAGTAGAAGATGACCCAAGTCCTTGGGTCCCTGTACCCACGTGGGAGACCCAGAAGCAGCTCCTGGCTCCTGGCTTTGGATTAGCACAGCTCCGGCCATTGCAGCCATCTGGGGAGTGAACCAGCAGATGGAAGACCTCTCTCTCTGTCTCTACCTCTCCCCGTAATTCTGTCTTTCAAATAAATAAAATAAATCTTTAAAAAAAAAAAAAGCATCAGCTTTTGTGGAAAGAGAGTAAGGAATGGAATCACGCATTGGTCCTTCTTCGCCAAGCCCCTCCCCAGCCTTACCCACCATGCACCTCCAAGGAGCTGTAGAGCCCCGGAATCCACTAACGGCAGCCACACTCTCATGGACAATGGGGACACCAAGCCACGTCCAGAGTTCCCTCGGGGCTCTTTGCTCTCCCTGGACCTGTCGGGGCTCAGTTCTTGGCTGGTGAGGGAAGGGACCAAAGGACCAGCCTGAGGATGATAACCTTTCCCGTCCTTCAAATCCGGGTGGGCTTCCCGGAGGAGCAGGAGGAATTCAGAAGAGTTTCTTTAACATTTATTTATTTGAAAGACAGAATGCCCGAGAGAGAGACAGGTGTAAGGAAAAAGAGGTCTTCCATCCACTGGTTCACTCCAGTGGCCAGGGCTAAGCCGGACCTAAACCAGGAGCCAGGAACTCAGTCCTGGCCTCCCATGTGGATTTCAGGAACCCAAGCACTTGGGCCATCTTCTGCAGCTTTCCAAGATGCATTATCAGGGAGTTGGCTTGGAAGCGGAGCAGCTGGGATTCAAGCCAGCACTTTGGGAGACTCGGATGGGAGAATTCATAGCATATCAGAGAACGTGTGGTTGTGTCATCGCCGCGACGCTGATGGGGCCACTCGGGGTGCTTTCCCAGCAGTGAGGTGTGAGAAGTGCCGGGGCCTTGTTGGTGCCGGCTCTGGGTCGTATGCCCATTGCACAGGAGCCGGCTCTCTGCAGAAGTGCAGGTGCAGCAGCAAGCCCCGCCCCCTGCCGCCTCTGGCACAGATCACCGAGGAGGAGGAGGGAACCCTGGAGCTGGGCGAGGAGGGCAGAGTCTGCTCCCCTGCATGCCCCAGCCCTGTTCAAGGCGTCTCCCGTGTGTTCCGAAGCCGGCAGCAGCAATGGCAATGAGCCCACCTCTTCCTGCGGAGCCCTGCCACCACCGTGCTGGCACGCGGATGAAGCTGTGTTGGGGGACCTTACACCTTAGTCCGTGGCCGAGGCTGCTACCTGGGTGTGATGCACTTGGATTGTATCTATTTTTTAAATTGATTAATTAATTAATTTGAGGCTGAGTTAGAGACAGAGAAAAAGAGAGAAAGAGAGAGAGGTCTTCCATCTACTGGTTCACTCCCCAAATGGCCACAATGGCCAGAGCTGGGCCAATCTGAAGCCAGGAGCCAGGAGCTTCTTCCAGGTCTCCCATATGCGTGACAGGGGCCCAAGGACTTGGGCCATCTTCTACTGCTTTTCCAGGCCACAGCAGAGAGCTGGATCAGAAGTGGAATAGCTGGGGCTCGAACCGGTGTCCAGATGGGATGCTGACACTGCAGGTAGACGCTTAGCCCACTACACCATGGTACTGACCCCTTGATTGTATCTTATGACATCTCATCAAAGAGTCCACATTGCATTGTCCCAAAAAGACAGTAAGTCACTAAGGCACACTTGCTGTACACACGCAGAGCCCAGGGTGGTACTAAGGGACCCCAAACCTCAGTCTCTCCTGTGGACGCACATTGAACCAGAAGCTCCGTCAGAGCCAGGAGGCAGCAGGGAGACCCAGCGCCGCAGCGGCTACCGCTAACTTCCCGACCCTTCCATCCTCGCTGTCGGCTGCAGCTCTGTGCTCCCTGGAGATGAGAAGGAAGACATCTTCATCCAGCGCGTTTGGAGCAATGAGGAGCTCTGAGTGGGAATCCAGGCGGCCATGTTGACTGGGATCCTCTCTCGTCAGCATGGGCTGCCAGGGCGATTTCATTTCTAATTTGCGTCTTTCCCTCCATAACTGAGGCATAATTTACCAGCAAAATTCGCCCCTTTCAGCATTCCGTTCTCTAAATTTGGATAAACGTGTACGCTTGTGTAGTCGCTACCATGGCCAAGACCGAAAGTTTCCAGAATGTTCCCTATGCCCCTTTGTAACCAGCCCCTTCCCCCAACCCAGGCCTTGGCAGCCTCTGGTCTGCTTCCTTCCTGCAGTTCTGCCTCTCCCGCGATTGTCACAGGAGCAGAACGGGGCCTGCGCATCTGGCTGCCGGCACTCAGCAGGATGCGCTGGGGTTTGTACAACAGCGAGGGCGCCCGTGGCAGCCATTTGTCCCTTTCCTCCGATTGTTGGGGGCTGCACGCACCAGACTCTTCATTCACGGCAGGTTGAAGAACGTCGGGCTTGTTTCCGGGTCTCAGTGACCATGAACCCAACACTGTGCGGACAGGACCTTCCACGGCTCCTGGGTTGCAAGGCAAGGCCGTGTGTGCGAGACACTGCCACGCTGTCTCCCAGAGCGGCTGTGTGCGCCGTGGGCACTGCCATCGCCAGCGCAGCGGGGTTGCAGCTGCTCTGTGTCCAGGCCAGCGCCTGGAGTCGTCAACAGAAAGACTCAGGCGAGACCGAATCAGAACAAAGTAGCGTCTCCCCAGGGCTCTCGGGCTGCAGAGGGCTGTGTGACCTGGGAGACCCTGGATGGCCTCGCTCACCTCTGCCCCTCTGTGGCCTGCGCCCCAGCCCCTCTGCCACACCCCTTGCCACTCCAGGGCCCATTCTCCCACCTGAGGCCTCTGCGTGGGTTCCCCTACCCTACTGGCGCTGGATCACCACTGGTTATGGTTGTAAATGGTTTGTGTTTCCTAGAGGTTCGTGTTTCTGAAGCTTCGTTCCCAGTGTGGAGATGTTACCACGTGGGGGCCCTTTAAGAGGTGGGGCCCAGCCAGCTGGAGGTTGTTGGGCTGTTGGGGGCTGTCACCCTCAATGGGATTGCTATAGTTTCCACAGAACACCAGGCTCTCTCTGGCTTCCTCCGTTTCTCTTTTCTTTCTTTCTTTCTTTCTTTCTTTCTTTCTTTCTTTCTTTCTTTCTTTCTTTCTCTCTCTCTCTCTCTCTCTCTCTCTCTCTCTTTCTTCCTTTCTTTCTTTCTTTCTTTCTCTCTCTCTCTTTCTTTCTTTCTTTCTTTTAAGATTTATGTATGTATTTATTTATTTGAGAGCCAGAGTTACAGAGAGAGGTAGAGACAGAGAGAGAGGTCTTCCATCTGCTGGTTCACTCCCCAGATGGCTGCAAAGGCCGTAGCTGTGCTGATCCAAAGCCAGGAGCCAGGAGCTTCTTCCGGGTCTCCCACGTGGGTGCAGGGGCCCTAGCACTTGGCCATCTTCTACTGTTTTCCCAGGCCACAGCAGAGAGCTGGATTGGAAGTGGAGCAGGCGGGACTTGAACCAGCACCCATATGGGATGCTGGCACAGCAGGTGGCTGCTTTACTGGCTCTGCCACAGCACCCGCCCCTGACTCAGCTTTGACCTCTTGTGTTAACACCCACAGTCACCATGACACCATCTGCACTCGGGGCCCGTACCAGAGGCCACACTGATGGGGTCTTTTCTCAGACTTACAGCGTCAACACTTTGAGCTGAGACACCTCTTTGCCTTATAAGCTACCTGGCCTTGGGTATTTTGTTACAGTAACGGAAAGTGGATAAAGACGCTGGCTTCTCCACCTTCAGACTTGGGCCTGAATGTTCCTCCCTCGGCTGACTCTCCTAACACCTGCACTCAGTCTGGGAGACGGGCAGGCTGTCTCCCAGCACCCGTGGTTTTCCTCTGTGGCAACCAGGAGTGCGTGCTTATTCCTGTGAACCTGAGAGGAAGGTCCATCTCTCCTCCTCCAGGAGGCACAGCCCATGGAAGTGGAGCAGCTGGGACTCTATCCGGCATCGGACTGCAGTGCTGCAGGCAGAGGGATAACGTCCTACGCCACAGTGCCAGCCCCAAGTTAAGCTTTCTTATTGTCCTTTTATGGTGCATCTATGGGTCAAGTTGGAAAACTTCCTACTACTAAACATTATTTATTAATTTTCAGGCAGTTGGTAGCCTTTTACTTGCTTTTCTATTATTAGTTGCTAGTTTTAGTCTACAGTTAAAGCACACCCTCCAAATGCTTCTCTCTCTCTCTTTTTTTTAGAGGCTTATTTATTTATTCGAAAGACAGAGTTACAAGAGCGAGGAGAGACAGGGAACCTTCATCCACTGGCTCACTCCCCAAATGTCTGCAACAGTCAGGGCTGGGCCAGGCCAAAGCCAGGAGCCAGGAGCTTCTTCCAGGTCTCCCATGTGGGTGCAGGGGTCCAAGGACTTGGGCCATCTTCTACTGCTTTCCCAGGTGCCTTAGCAGGGAGCTGGATTGGAAGTGGAGCAGCCGGGACTTGAACCAGCATCCAAATGGGATGCTGGCATCACAGGTGGCGGCTTCAGCTGCTACGCCATGACGCCAGTCCCAGTGTTGCATTCTAACTCGTGCATTCCCCGTGTGAAGATCAGACCAGGGCCATGGGCTTGCCTGCCGCCTCAGACATGGATCGTTCCTGTGTGGGAGGAAAATTCAAAGTCCTCTCTGCTGGCTATGCTGAAATATCCAGGTCATTTTTGTCGAATGCAGGTTCCCTCCCATCCAACAGACCCCTGTACCCATCAGCCCTCTCTGTCTCCCTCCCTCCCCCAGCCCCTCCCCCAGCCCCCGTCTCCAGGAACGCCATTCGTTCTCTGCCCTGAGGTCACCTTTTTTTCTGTAAAGCTCCCATAGCTAAGTGAGGACACGCCATGTTTGTCTTTCTATGCCCGTTTTATTTCACGAGACTCGGGGTCTCCCAGTTCCATCCATGTTGCTACCAATGACAGGGTCGCATTGTGTGTGTAACCCGCATTTCCTTGTCCACTCACCTCCCCGGGGACAGCCAGGCTGCTGTCAGGTCTTAGCTACGGTGAGCAGGGTCACAGGAGTGTGGGGCTGTCTCTTCCACGTCCCGATTTCGGCTTGTTCAGGGGCCTCGCCCTGCTCTGCCTGGTGGCCCCACGCGTTTACGTCCCACCCACGCCGGTTGTAGGTCCCACAGCAGGCAGTCCGGGGGGAGGGCTGCAGCGAGAGGGGGCGGGGTCTCGTCACACTCGGGCCTCTGCACCAGTGTCGGACTTCCTGCTTCCATGCTGAACCTCAGCATGATCCCCGGATGCACAGCAACCTAGCGGCCAGCTCTGGCCCAGCCGCGTGACCTGGGTGCGTTATCTGCCTCTGTAGCGGATGCTGACCTCCAAAAGGTGTGTCTTTGAGGCCAGTGTTGTGGCACAGGGGGTTGAGCCGCCACCTGGGACACCCACATCCCATGTCAGAGGCTGGTTCGAGCCCCGGCTACTCGGGTCTAGATCCAGCCCCACACTGGTGCACCCAGGAAGTACTGGGCTCCTGCTATCCGCGTGGGGGACCGGGATGGAGTTCCAGGCTCCTGGCTTTGGCCTGGTCAGCCCCAGCTCTTGCAGGCATTGGGGGAGTGAACCAACAGATGGAAATAAAGGTGGGGGGTGGGGTGGGCGTGGTCTATGCAAGCTGAGCCACAGGGCTGGGCGCCCGCGGGGGCTCCCGGAGTTGATCCCCGTGGGGAGGTGACTGTATGGAAGTGAGCCCTTGGGTGTCAGTAAGCCAAGGGCAGCTTGGTGTGTCCAGGTGGGCCCAGCGTCCCATGGCAGCTGGGACACGAAAAAAGGCCTGGAGCAGAGACACACACGGAGGAAGTGGCCCCACGGGGACGGGGTCAGAGACTGGCGTGGTGCAGGGGCCACCGGAAGTGGAGGAGGCCAGGACGGCTTCTCCCCCAGCGCCTGCAGCGGGAGCAGGGCCCTGCTGCCACCTCCGCCACTCAGGTCTGGCCGCCAGAGCTGCTGGGGGCAGCCCCCAACAGAGGCCCCTTCACGACCCGGGGAGACGGGCCCTGTTGTCAGCCCCATTTTGTAGGTGGGGGGGCAGATCTTCTCTCTCTGCATCCTGCCTCCCCCGGAAGCCCTCCATGCTGCCCACCCCGAGGGACAGCACCGCGGGCCTGGGCCGCCCACGACAGACCGCACCTCCACAGCCTTCACTCCTCACGCCTCGGAAGATGGGGCGGGGCTCGGCACAGCGGTTAAGGCACTGCGCGGGATGCCAGCAGCCCAGAGCAGGCCCCGCCACGTTCCCTATTCCAGCGGGTGACAGCTCAAGTCCTCGGGCCCCTGCCACCCACATGGGACACCTGGTTGGAGCTCAGGACGCCTGGCGTTGGCCTGACCCAGCCCCAGCTCTTGCTGTCAGTTGAAGAATGAGCCAGCGGCTGGAAGGTCCCTCTCTATCAACCTTTCAAACCCCACGCAGAAGAAGAATAAGACGACGCTGCAAGGTGCACCTGCTCCAGGCCGGCCGCGCCGGGAGCCCCCGCAATGCTGGCTCAGTTCCCAAAGCCAGCCGTGGGGCTCCCCTAAGCCTCGGGGCATCACCCAGGCACGGCTCGGGGCCACGAGGGGTCGCTTCCCCTTCTCACCAGTCGGCTTTTGTGGTCCAGACCTGTTTCTGCGAGGGGCCATTTGCTGGTGGGAGTTTCGGGAATCCTCTTGCTGGCTTTGGCAAGTGTCTCCTGGCAAACGCTGTTCTTCCTTGTGGTTTAGCTTTGGCCCCTGGCCTGGCCCCAGACCCCGGAGCCGCCCAGGAGAACCGCTCTCCTGAAAGACCAGGAGACTGGGGCTCGGGGTTCCAGTCCCAGCACCGCCCCCCGCCCTCCTCCTCTGACCCCACCCTCCTCCTCCGACCCTGCCCTCCTCCTCTGACCCCACCCTCCTCCTCTGACCTTGCCCTCCTCCTCTGGCCCCTCCCCTCCTCTGACCCCGCCCTCCTTCTCTGGCCCCGCCCTTCTGACCCGCCCAGTCGCCCCGCGGGTTCCCCAGCGTCCCGCACAAGCCCAGCTCTCAAGCCCCGACAGCTCCTTATTCCCGGAATTCTGGGAAGCCGCTTGGAGATGCCCTCTGCACAAGCGCTGACCTTGACCTTCGCTGCGGCCTGCCCCCACAGCCTGACGGCGAGGCTCAGTTGATGGCTGCCCAGGGCACGGCCTCCCTGCCCGCTGTCGGGCCCGCGCAGCTTCGGCAGTGGTCGTGGGCTCCCTGAAGGAGCAGCCAGCCAGCGCTTGCTGTCTTAGGGTTCTCGGTGTCTGAGGAAGAGCCTGGCCGCTGTGGGAGCCCACTTCCCCCATCCCGAGGACGAGGCTGCTGGGACAAAGGAAGCCCGTCCTTCCCCATAAATCAATCTGTGAGATCCAGGAAACCGGGAGGAATGGGGACCGGGGCTTCAGAAGGGCGGGCTCTTGCTGCCCTCTGGTGGACAAGATGATGAATGGCACCTCATCATTTCCGGCTCTGCAAACTAAAACTTCTGAAAGGAGAGTATTCAGTGGCCACAGAGAAGGGTCCCTGTCTTGTCCATTCGGGGCTGAGGCTGCCATCTACTCCCCGGGTGACCTTGGCATGGGTCAGGCCCCTGGGAGGCTCCACTGCCTCGTCTGCGAAGCGGGCGTGGTACTGTCCACCAGCTTGGGACTCCTACAGAGCGGAGGCCCTGCTCTGAGTCCTGGCTGCCTCCTCGGGGAGGCAGCAGGTGAGGGCGCCAGCGCTTGGGAGACCGGATGGAGGTCCAGGCTCCTGCCTGGGCACGTGAGAGAGAGGCAGCGGCTGGGCTCCCTGTCTCTCTGCCTTCCAAATAAAGTGACGATAACAGAAACCTTTAAGCACCTCCCACCTGGAGGATTAATTAATTAATAATTGTACAAGTGGTGGTGCGGAGCGGAGCCCTGTGGCTGGCAGTCCACTCTGCAGGCACAGGAGGCCGCCACAGGCATGAACGGAAGAGCCACAGAGGGGAAGATCAGGGACCAGTGAGGGGCGGCTCAGACCGCGGGGCTTGGAAACTCAAACGCGTTTTGCTCTCTGGCTCTTTACCAGGAATGCCGGCTGAGCTTTGCCTTTTCCAGTGAAGAAACTTTGGCATCTCGCAGAACGCCACGGCAGCTCCGTCGGCCCTCTCTCCCTGTCACAAGGTGGCGGCCTGAGTTCTGGGCGTCGCATCTACGTCCAATCGACATTCAGGCCAGGAAGTACCAAGCAGGAAGAAGAGAATTTCTTTGTATCACTTCTTTGTTTTTTCTCCCCAGCGAGGAAATGTTTCCCAGAAGCCCTGCGGGAGGCTTCCCCTAATCTCATTGGCCCGGAGCTAGGTCATATGAGGAACCGTGGGCCAACCCCTGGGATGGGGGTGACTCTGACTGCTTTATCCCAAAGGGGCTGCACAGAACCTGCCCTTTCTGATTACAGACATAATTTAACATGAAAGGGCCTTGGTATTTCAAACAAACAAGATGAGCGTTCTGTTAGCTGAGTCGGTGCGGCTCCTCCTCTCCCGGGCGCTTGATCCCGAGAACTTGAACTGCAGGGCTGTTTCGCTGTCTTGTTGGCTTGCACGCCCGCTGGGCCGCGGAGTGAAGTCCTCAGGAGGGTTTTGCCGCTCTGCCCTCTCTTCTCCCAGTTTTGCTTGGCTGCAGGCGTTGCCGTTCCCGGGGCACAGGGAGGGGAGGCGCAGGCAGGACTCGGGCGAGGGTCCCCAGCCTCCTCACAACCGAGAGCGCCCCGCCCCAGGATAGTCAGGCTGGGTTCTTCCAGGCCCCCGAGTGGCTCCTCAGTTCCCTGCAGCTCGGAGCCGAGCGGGAGCCGGCCGAGGGCGCGGGGCTCGGAGTGCCAAGTGGAAAGTTTTGTAGGCGAATTGAAAAGCAATTTCACAGGGACTCAGATCCGAAATCAGAGCCCCCTGGTTGTTAGAGAGGGAGGGAGCTGCTGTTACACACACGGACGCACACACGTACACACACACGCAGTGCACACTCACACACTCTCTCACACACACATGCACACACTCACACTCCCACACACACCCACACACACTCACACATGCACGCACACTCCCACAACACTACATATCCACTGTCATGCACACACACCCACACACACTCACACATGCACACACGTGCATGCACACACACACACACTCACATATCCACTCTCATGCCCACACACCCACACACAGTCACACACACTCACACATGCACACACACGTGCACGCACACACACTCACACACCCACTCTCACACACACACCCACACACAGTCACACGCATGCACTCACACACACGCACACTCACACACCCATCGCGGAAGCAGACAGGCAGCCAGCAGAGCCCACACAGCCAACAAATACTGGGTCTGAGGCCCAAGGAGAGGAGCAAAATGCTGATCTGGCCTCTCCACAGCAAGCAGAGGGTAAGGCAGAGAGCGAAGGGAGGGGTTGGCGAGGCCCCGAGAGGGAGGCGTGGCCCCGAGAAGGAGGCGCGGCCCCAAGAGGGAGGCGTGGCCCTGAGAAGGAGGTGCGGCCCCAAGAGGGAGGCGTGGCCCTGAGAAGGAGGTGTGGCCCCGAGAGGGAGGTAGGGCCCCAAGAGGGAGGCATGGCCCTGAGAGGGAGGCGTGGCCCTGAGAGGGAGGCGTGGCCCCGGGGAAGGAGGCGTGGCCTTCCAGCAAAGCCTCCCTGCTGTTGGGTGGGGCCCCCGGCCGGTGCTTTCTGAACACTCTGCCCCTGGGGTCTTTGCCAGCCGCCTGCCCTCATCCGGGTCAACCACCGTCTGATTGATATTTGTCCTGGCTCTTTGAAGAGAGACAGCCTTGACATAACTTTTATCAGGGTGCACTGTTCTCAGGGTTCTGTTTTATCCTTAGTTCTTGACCTCTGACGGAGCCGTAAATTGAAGGCTCAGTGCTCGCTTTGCAGGTGTAAGTGCATGGACTTGGTACTAAGTCTGGTTTCAGGCAGCCCCTGGGGGAGGGAAGTCTCCGCACACAAGCCCCAAGGGCACAGGGGAGCAGAGGAGACCCAGGGCAATGAACCCAAGTTCCCCCAAGCAAGAGGAGGTGGGCTTCACTCGGGCAGTCCTGAGCCCCGAGTCCCTCCCCCCGCCCCCGCCTAATTCCGGCCGCCCCCTCCCTCCCCGCCCCCTCCCTCTCTGTCCTATGGAAATGAAAATGCTGACTCAAGTTTGGCGGGTTCCCTGGAGCAGGTGCAGGCCAGGGCCTGGTTCCCGCCAGCCTGCTGCACCTGCTCAGGACTCGGATGACAAGTGAGCAGGGCAGGCAGGCGGCTCCCCACCCCCACCCCTCTCGAGATTCTGAGCCTTCCAGAAGGCACAGGTGTTGAGAAACTGGCAAGGGTCTTCCACAGTGAGCCCCATGCCTCCCGGGCGGGGATGGCAGGTGCCGGCCGCGGAGGGCTCCCAGGGAGGAGAGTGGGGCATGTGAAGGGCTCCGTCCTGGCCGTGGTCCAGGCCAGTCATCCGTCCTTGGTCCTCCTGGAAGAGCTGACAGGTGTCTAACAACCGAACGAATGGGTCTGTGTCCGCATGCCCTTGCGGGAGTGGCTTCTGCTGCCTGCAGCCAAGGCCGATGGCCCGAGCCACACGGAAGTGCCTGGCGGGTCCCCACGGGGCGCTAGGGGTCGTTCTGAGAATGTGACTACTCCACGGAGGGAGCGAGCCCTCGGCCCTGCTCTAGCGAGCCCCGACTTCGCTCCCTTGGGAGTGAACCCTCCGAACCCCCGTGTCCTGGGGGCAGAAAACTTCATTTTGCCAAGGCGAGGCAAGGCTACCATCAGGCTTCCTCACACTCAGTGAATTAAGGCGTCTTCCCCAAGCCCCGGCCCCCCAGCTGCCCTCCCGCGAGCGGCACCCACTTCTCCTCACTCAGCTCCGCCCACAGGCATCCAAGGCTGATGGGACTGGCTGCTGTGTGGCTCTAATTCCTCTACCCCCACGGCCATCACAGCGGCTGCCTCTGTCCTCCCTCACTCACCTGGTCCCCACTTGTCACTCTGCGTGCCCTCCCCAGCTTCTCCAGCCAGCTCTCGCTGCCACGTGGGGTTCTAGAAAATTCTCAGATCCGGTTTGGGGTGGCGTGGGTCTCAGGTCCCCTGCATGGCAGCTCCACCATGGGGCTCTGGCTCTGTGCCCACCGCTGCTCTGCCTGGAACAGGAGGCGTGGCCTCTGGGGGTCTCCAACCTCCCCGGACCCCAGGCCTTGTCCCAGGGCCCTAGCACCTGACTTCCGGCCACACCTCCTCCAATCTTCTTCCACCCGCTCACCTCCCATGTGTGAACTTGGGGCACAAAAACATTGTTCCTTGAATGTTCTCTTCTCCTGTATGGTGTAGAATAAAATCCAAGCTCCAAGTCTCCCAGACCGGCCTGGAGTTCTCAACATGTGTGGAAGAATGTGTCCAGCAGCTATCTGTGGGACACCTGCCAGGACAGATACTCTGCAGGGTGGGAAAGCAGCAGGGACGGACAGATGGACACTTGCCTGCCAGCTGGAGGAGAGGAGTCAATACCCCCAGGTGGCAGCCAGTGGTGGGTTCCTTTCAAGAGTGATGATGCTTTGCAGACACCGGGGGCGGCTGCTGTGGCTCACTTGGTTAATCCTCCGCCTGCGGCGCTGGCATCCCGTATGGGCGCCGGGTTCTAGTCCCGGCTGCTCCTTTTCCAGTCCAGCTCTCTGCTGTGGCCCAGGAGTGCAGTGGAGGATGGCCCAGGTCCTTGGGCCCTGCACCCACATGGGAGACCAGGAGGAAGCACCTGGCTCCTGGCTTTGGATCGGCATGGGTCCGGCTGTAGTGGCCATTTGGGGGGTGAACCAATGGAAAAGGAAGACCTTTCTCTGTGTCTCTCTCACTGTCTAAGTCTGCCTGTCAAATTAAAAAAAAAAAAAAAAAGAGTGCTGATGCTTTGCAGACACCAAAGGGAGTGAGGACACAGAGTGGCGGGACAGCAGCGAGGGGCCTTGTGAAACAGGAGCACGGCGCTGGCAGCCTCGGCTTCCTGGGCTGCTCTTTCTTGCTTTTTTTTTTTTTTTTAAGATTTATTTATTTATTTGAAAGTCAGAGTTACACAGAGAGAGAAGGAGAGGCAGAGAGAGAGAGGTCTTCCATCCACTGGTTGACTCTTCAACTGGCTGCAACGGCTGGAGCTGTGCCGATCCGAAGCCAGGAGCTTCTTCCAGGTCTCCCACGTGGGTGCAGGGGCCCAAGGATTTGGGCCGTCCTCTACTGCTCTCCCAGGCCACAGCAGAGAGCTGGATGGGAAGTGGAGCAGCCGGGACTCGAGCTGGTGCCCATGTGGGATGCCGGCACTGCAGGCGGTGGCTTTCCTGGCTATGCCATCAGGC